AATATATATTATGTAATTATTTGATATCCTAATGATTAAATTATAGTGTATTTTATAGGCAATTTTTTATTCGGTTTTCTGTAATTCGATTTCTATCAAACTTACTCCACCTCATCATATTACCAGAAATAATATTGTTTCACAAGGTAAGAGGTACTCGAATTTGGTTCATAAGGCTGATTTTTTATTCGTTGCATCATCCATACATCTTTCCTGCTAAAATTCACTATTTTATCACGTGTTTCCAAAAAAAAAAAATTATACAACAATAAGCTATACATTCCATTACATTCTAAAATTTCATAACTCACCTTCCTCCGGCCAACTGGCCGGGCCCACACTAGTAATCTAGGAATTTAGTTCCACATCAATACGAAGGAGAGCACAAATAGGAGAAGGAAAGAACAAAACGATATCAAATCCCTTTGAGATCAAGATTTGGGCCGCTACTATAACTGAGTTGGGCTCGGTTGAGCCCATTGATTGTATCTCTCAGCCCAATCATTCTGGGTTATTTATACTCTTCCGTGACGGTCTGGACTGACCCACTGGGTACCCCTGAACCGCCACTATCACCTGCTAGTGATGATAGCAATTTGAACTCGTCACGCGGGTATTATCCGACCTGACTCACGATGTGGCTAGTATTATCATATCCGCAGTAGCGTAGAACGATGCATGGGTATCTACTTGCGACCCGCCCCGTTCCGCTCCGTTGTTAGTCCATTCTGTCTTAATTTTCTATAGTATCTATTCATATTTCTTATATTTTAATTATTCTTCAACTAGTTAGAATCGATCTTTTAATTAGCTAAACTCAATTACTCATTCTATTATTACTATTTTCGTTCATCCTCTTCCTTTTATCCACGAGAACAAATCGGGTCAGATCCGGTGCTTAAGCCTAAAAGTTTAAGCATATGCTTAAAGCATTCCTATTGGCTGATAGGATTTTAGTAAGTTTATGGAAGGTTAGTAGTTAATAGGTTGTTAAGGGTAAATGGGATATTATGAGAAAATAATAAATAATTAAAATAATTATTCTCTCTCCTAAAACTCGGGATTAATAGAAAATCCGGAACTATGTAATTATATTTAATGAAATTCCAAATTTAAAACTGAAATTCGAAATTAATATTTAAGTTTTAAAAATGGAAATTCCAAATAAGAAAAGCTCACACCCTCTCTGTAGAGGCTTCCATTAGCGTTATTAAAGTTTTCAATGATTTTATTAATGTTTATGACATGAATTATTATTGATATATTCCATCCTTATTAACTATTTCAATATAATCATTAATGCATTAAGATTATATTATTAACAATTTTGGATAAATTTTTACCGATTTATATTTTCATCATCAACATTTACGAATTATTAAAATTATACCACATAATTATTAATGAATCAAATAACATTATCATTGATTTACAATATTTTTACTAAAAATTCTTGCATAACATTAATAATTTCTTCATAATCGTTGATAACAATAAAAAACCAATATTATGCTTTCTGAATATTTTAATAAAGCGGACATGCAAATGTCAAAACGCTAATAATGATTCTCTGATTCTCTCTAATAACACATTTGCACATAATAGAAAATTTCTTCCATTCAATTTGATAATGATGATGCATTGATGCATAATATTGATAATTCCTCCATAAAATTGCGATAAAAAAGTTGAAAACGTTAATAATGATTATAGTTGTTGTTGATAATTACCTTCAGATTAATAATAATAATTTTGCATATCATTGATAATATCTTGCATCCAGGTTGATATTATTATTCATTGATAATGGTTAAACAACACTAAAATTGATCCAAATCCATTAATAAATACGTTTGTTTCAAATAAGTACATAATCATTAATATTATTGATAAATCGTATGCTTCTGGTTGCTTCTTCTTTGGCAGGTTGCATAACACCTTATGTAACGTATTCTTAGTTTCCGATATGTCGTTAACCTACAAAGACAAAATTCGAACACATATATGTTATTATTACAATAGCAATGAAATATAAACAAATGGGTTTGTTTAATTTAAAATCATCGATATTAAAAAAATATCAAAACGTTGAGTATGACACTCTAAATCGTTAATAACTAAGTTGTGTTGCGTTGAAAATGCAATCAATATACTTATTATTGACATACCGAATCATTATTAACAAATTCAATATACTTATCAATGTTTTACGATTGCATTATTAACGATTTAAAATCACTTATTAACGATTTAAAATGACTTGTTAACGATTTATATTTTGTCATCAAGTTTATGAAGATATTACTTAAGTTATGTCGCATCATTATTAACGGTTTGAATAACATTATCATTGATTTGCAACATATTTATTATCGATTCACTTTTTCAAGTCATGTTCGAACTAGCCAATCATCGTCTTTTACAATGACTTTGAATGACATTATTAACATTTTGCAATCAATTATCATCGATTCACAATGTCGTTTTTAGCGTTTATGAAATTAATTTTTATTGATATGCCCCATCATTATTAACGCTTTCAGTAAGTTTTTAATTGATATTAGCATGCAAAAGCTTTGACAATTAACATAGTTTTATTAATAATACCGCCATAAGTGTTACTAATTTGATCATACAAATTTAGAATTGTCGCCCTAATTGTTAATAATATACGCCTACGACTTACTAATTTGACCATAAAAAAGGATAATGACGTTGAAACTATTACTAGTTTGATAATTACGACCAAAAACATTAATAACGATAAGTACAATCATTGTTAATCCAACATCTCCCATACGTTTATAATACAATTATATACATCATTGGTGAATCAACGTGAAATCATTGCTAAATACCACTACTTTGCTAAAACGGCGTGCTAAACTTTCAAACAAAAATAACCTCAAACCCAAAAAAAGAAGAATAATGTACATAAACGCTGGCGCAGGGCGACGACCGTTCTTTGCAGCGGCAGTAAGAAGACGATGTTGACCGATGAATGAAAGGCGGAGACGATGAAAAACAACAAACCTCAGTTAAAAAAAACTGCCATCTTCCCGACGGGTATCACAAACGCCAAAGACAATGCCCAAGGTTTTTTCAGCTCCGTCGAGGCTTTCTTGACGATTATGGAAGGAAGGGAAACGAAGCGGCGCGACGCAGCGGAAGAGGAATGGCCGGAAGCCGCCTGGTCGAAGACGGGAGAGTGATGGGAGGAAGAAGTCGCAGATATAAAAACCTAACCGGCGGTATATGTGTTTTAGGGTAGACGTTTAGTTCTCCTTTAATTATGAAATTAGGTTTAATTTTAAATAAATAATGTACACAATTTACTTCAATACCCTTAACCACTTATTAACTAATAACTACTTATTAACCACCTAATCTACTAACAACCAATAGAATTGATTTAAGCATATGCTTAAGTTTTTGGGCTTAAGCACAGGAACTCAAGCCGAGAACAAATCGTTTCCCATCCGACCTTGTACTAACTAAACACATAATGAGCTAACTTTCTTCTAGGGAAGATTTCGTCATTTTTACCTAGTTTCGCCATCTAGGACATCCAACTGTTTTCATACTAAGAGTATCTCGATCGGCTACATTTTTACCTAGTTTCGCCATCTAGGACATCCAACTGTTTTCATACTAAGAGTATCTCCATCGGCTACCATTTTCCACTTTCATCATGACGTGGATGTGCTCTTCCAATTGCAAAATGAATTTTACTGATGTATAAAATGCTTGCAAAATGCTCATATGCAATTCAACGTGGGTGACTAGTGGGGTTTGGCTTATTTTTTTCTTTTTTTTTAATGTCATTTAATTATCATATAATATATTTTAGATGTGTTATTTTTTTTATTGCAATTGCAAATGAATTACATTGATGTAGGTATAATTAAATTGAAATGAGTTGGATTGCGTAATTCTTGAGTTGGCATAAAAAGCAAAAATTACAATTGCTTTTGCAATTACATTGATGTGGATGCTCTTATTAGGGAGAAATCCTAGGTTGTATAGGATTTGTATTCGTTGTCCTTCTCCCTCTTGTATTCTGTCTCTCTGTACTTGTATAAATATACACTCTTACATAATGAAATACACACAAGGTTGAAATCCCTTACATGGTATCAGAGCACCGTTCCAAAACCTAAATTTTTTTCGTTCTTGCTGGCTGGCTAGCCCTTCGCCATGTCTGAGTTTGCTGATGACTCCTCCACTGTTGCTGCTGGAGCCTCTGCTGTCGCCGCCGCCGATCTACAGCTGGTCACGTTCAATCCAGCTGCGTCCCTTCCTCTCAAACTCACCGCCACCAACTTCCCATCCTGGCGAGCACAGCTGTTTTCCCTCCTCTATGGCCTTGACCTTGTCGGCTATCTCGATGGCACCGTCGCTCCACCAGCTGAAACCATCCTCGTCGATGGTGTCTCTACTCGGAATCCGGCCTACACTCACTGGTTCCGACAGGACAAACTTCTCCTCAACGGCATCTTTGCCTCGGTCACGGCAGAACTCTGCCCTTTCATTGCGGCTGCGCGCACATCACGTGAAGCATGGGACACTCTTCAACGTACCTATGCTGGTACCTCGTACTCTCGCATTATGACTCTGCGAGATCGCCTCCTTGGCGAACGACGCGGTGACCGGGACATCGCCACCTACATTCAGGCTCTTCGGTCTCGCGCCTCTGAATTAGCCCTAGCCGGTGAAATTATTCGTGACGAGGAGCTCGTCACCGTTTGTCTCCGCGGACTTGGACCCGAATACAGCGAATTCGCCGCCGGGATTCGGGCTCGTGATGTTGCACCTAAACTGGAGGACCTCCTCGATCGTCTGCAGGCCCTTGAGAGTGACCTCAAGGCCATTCGCCCCTCTGCTGAACACCCAGCGACTGCCTATGCCACTCAACGCGGTCGCGGTCGCGGACGTGGACCTGGTCGCGGCTCTTCCTCCTCCCCAGGCTCGGCTCCTTCCTCTGGCTCGTCTCCGTCATGGGACTCTCCTCCCAGTGATGACGATAACTCCCGCAGCAGGCCGCGAATCTACTGTCAATTTTGTGACAAGCCTGGTCATGTCGCCAAGAATTGCTTCCAACTCTTTCCCCACAAACGTCCGCCGCAGGCCAACTACACCTCCCATCCACCTACTGCTCCATCTTCTGCGACCAACGGTGGCTGGCTCATGGACTCCGCAGCGACACATCACGTCACCAACAACCTCGGCAATCTCTCTCTCTACTCTGATTACAACGGACCGGATGAAATCTACTTGGGTGATGGTTCAGGTTTGCGGATAACTCACATTGGCTCATCGTCTCTTTTAGCACCACCCAAGACTCTCACTTTACGTGATGTTCTATGTGTACCTGCCATCAAGCATCGTCTTATATCTGTTGCTAAACTGTGTCGCACTAACCCGGTGTCTGTTGAATTCTTTGCTGATTTGTTCATTGTGAAGGATCTAAGAACGGGGGCGCGCCTGCTGACCGGAAGGAACAAAGGTGACACGTACGAGCTTCCCCATCAGTCTGCTGCTGTTCGTGTAGCCCTAGTCACCACTAGTCACTCGCCTGACTCATGGCATCGTCGTCTTGGTCACCCGTCCTCCAAGTCTCTACTTCGTCTCCTTCGCACTCAGTCGTTACCACATTCGTCTAAGTCTCTTACCCATTGTAATTCGTGTCTGTCGAACAAAAGTCATAAGCTTCCTTTCGGTGATTCTAGTTTGTCAAGTACTCGGCCCTTTGATCTGTTGTTTTCTGATGTCTGGGGTCCTGCCCCTGTCGAGTCTATAGATGGTTATTCCTATTATCTAGTTATTGTCGATCATTTTACAAGGTATACTTGGATCTATCCTCTCAAACGTAAGTCCGATGTTTTGTCCGTCTTCATTGCATTCAAAACCCTCATTGAGAACTTCTTTTCCACTACCATCCGTCGCCTCTATACCGATGGAGGGGGCGAATTTCTAAAGCTCAAACCTGCCCTTGTTCAAAATGGGATCGCTCATCTTCTTACTCCACCGTACACCCCCCAACATAATGGGCTGTCCGAGCGCAAACACCGCCATATTGTGGAAACCGGCATCACCCTTCTCCATCAAGCTCGCCTTCCCCTCTCATATTGGTCCTATGCCTTTACCACAGCCGTGTATCTCATCAACCGGCTTCCCTCGTCCGCTCTCCGAGGTCAAATCCCGTTCACTTCTCTGTTCAATGAGCCCCCTAATTACTCCAAACTTCGGGTCTTCGGTTGCTTGTGCTACCCCTGGTTGCGTCCCTATAATTCTCATAAACTCCAACCCCGATCCCGCCCGTGTGTATTCCTTGGCTACTCACACCAACAGAGTGCTTATAGGTGTCTAGATCCACAAACTAATCGAGTCTACGTCTCTCGTCATGTTCTTTTTGTTGAGTCTCAACTTCCTGGTGTTCAATCCTCACTTCCCTCCGTGTCAGCCGAGACTTCCTCAACATCGTGGCTCACTGCCACGTCCCCTGTTGTTACTCTTCTACCTTGCAGGTCGTCACCTCCCCTCCCAGTTCCCAGGCCCGCGACGCCGCCCCCTAGTCCCTCTCACACGGAACACTCACCATTGTCTTCGACCACACCGGCGACACCATCCCTGTCCCCCTCGGACTCGTCGACGGGCGGCTCAACTCCACCACCGCCCCCTCCGTCTCCACCAGTGCGGCACCCCATGCGGACTCGTGGCCAGAATAACATATTTAAACCTAACCCCAAGTATGCTTATGCTACTTCCTTGCAGGCTACTCCTCCGCTTGAGCCGACCTCCATCAAGGAGGCCATGAAACATGATGTCTGGCGCCGAGCTCTACATGCTGAAAATGATGCCCTCATCGCCAACCACACCTGGGATCTGGTTCCCCGCCTCCCTCACTATAACGTGATCGGCAACAAATGGCTATATCGGGTCAAGTTTCTCTCTGACGGCTCCATCGAACGTCACAAGTGTCGCCTTGTCGCGAAAGGGTTCCATCAACGGGCTGGAGTGGATTTTCATGAGACCTTCAGCCCTGTTCTCAAGCCGGTGACTGTTCGTACAGTCTTTACACTAGCGCTGTCATCTAAATGGCCGATCTTTCAGTATGATGTCAACAATGCATTTCTTCAAGGACCACTTCAGGAAGAGGTTTACATGACACAACCGCCTGGGTTTCGTGATCCTCAGTTCCCTGACCATGTGTGTCGTCTTCGCAAAGCTATCTACGGCCTTCGACAAGCACCGCGCGCCTGGTATGATGCTCTCAGTAAGTTCCTCCTGTCCTGTGGCTTTGTGAAGACGTGCTCCGATGCGTCATTGTTTGTGTACTCGCATGGTGGTATACTAGCTTATTTCCTCATGTACGTTGATGACTTGCTCCTCACTGGCAACAATGAGGCCTTCCTCACGGCCTTTCAAGCCCAGCTCTCGGATCGGTTTTCCTTGAAGCATCTTGGTCATGTTCATTTTTTCCTTGGGATTGAGGTCATTCCCACGTCGTCGGGCTGCATCTTGTCTCAACACAAGTATGTCAACGATATTCTCACTCGGTTCCAAATGCATGAAGCAAAACCGGCCTCGACTCCTCTAGCATCGACTACCCGTCTCACCCTCAACGACGGCTCAGCCCCGTCCGATGCCACTCTCTATCGGCAAGTTGTTGGTGCTCTCCAGTACCTCGTCACTACGCGGCCTGACATTGCCTTTGCTGTCAACAAGTTGTCCCAGTACATGCATGCCCCGACCTTCACCCACTGGCAGCATGTCAAGAGGCTCCTTCGCTTCATTGCTGGTACTCGCTCACTGGGAATCCACATTGCTCGACAGTCGACCCCTCTTTCCCTTCGAGTTTTCTCTGACTCTGACTGGGCAGGTGATGTTGATGATCGGACGTCCACATCAGGGTTCCTAATCTACCTCGGTGACACTCTTATTTCGTGGAAGTCCAAGAAACAGCGCACGGTCGCTCGCTCCAGCACAGAAGCCGAATACAGAGCTCTAGCTCTGGCCACTTCTGAGACTATTTGGATACAGAATCTCCTTGTTGAACTTCACTACTCGCTTCCTGCTGCTCCTACTCTCTACTGTGATAATCTCGGTGCCGTCAACTTCAGCTCTAATCCGGTATTCCACTCCCGCATGAAACATTTGGCACTGGATTATCACTTCGTCCGTCAGCTTGTCAACTCCAGGCAGCTTCTAGTTCGCTACCTTCCCACTGCGTCTCAGCTCGCGGATCTGCTGACTAAAGCTCTTCCGGTTACACGCTTCCGACTCTTGAGCTGCAAGATTGGACTCGCTGACGCTGCCTCCATCTTGCGGGGGCGTATTAGGGAGAAATCCTAGGTTGTATAGGATTTGTATTCGTTGTCCTTCTCCCTCTTGTATTCTGTCTCTCTGTACTTGTATAAATATACACTCTTACATAATGAAATACACACAAGGTTGAAATCCCTTACAGCTCTAAGCTAGCCAGAGCAGATTTTGGATTAGCAAGTAGAGTAAAAAAATGATAAAGAGCCAAGCAAGATTGCTCTGTTTTGGGAAACAGAGGCCTACCGCCTTTTTCTGGTTTTGGAGAACTGCTTTCCTTTCTGAGCTTTGGTAAGGCATGTTGGTTTGAACTTCACTTCCTGGCTTTGAACCATAGCCCAAGATGGGATTGGTTCATCCTGCACAGTCACAAGATTAAGGAAATCGTAGCAAAGTCCAACATTTCCCCATTACATTCAGAAAACCCAAAAGAGAGGAGCTCAAGAACCCCCCAACACAACGTAATGGGAGCCCAGAGAATCCCCAATTTTGATATCATAAGCAGAGGAAACGCACTATGCACGATTCCAGTGGCTATACCAGAAGTTCCAAACATCAGTCATAGCAAGAAGTTTCTTTTCGTGGCCGCTTTCGAACTTCAGGAATCCTTACAAGAATTGTTCATCTGTCTTGTGAATCTTCACCAGGACCAAACCCGATTTAGGCCTGTAACTGAACTCGATTCTGTCTCCAATCGCCACGCCATTAGCAGCCGCCAAGGCCTGCCAGCCACCACTGAATCGTTTCTGAAGGCCCTTCCCTCCTGAGATTACACGAACTGCCCACACTTTCCCACTTGAGTCCTGAAGTTGTGCAGTTTCCTTCAGTGACAGCTTCGTGGTTTCAGAAAATCTCACCGGCATGCACTTCCCCATGGGCCAAAAAACAGCGAATTAAGGGCGAGGTTTTGATGAGTAAAACAAACAGAAAAAGATGATTTACTGGGAAGGAATTGAACTATACCACAAAATTACAACGTTCATTGTGCTTCTTGTAAACCATTTCGAAGGAATCAGCCAATCCTGGAGGAACGTTGTTGACAGAAGAATGGCCTTTTCTCAGTTTGCTGGACTCTGCCTTCATTAATGGAGCTCCTCGCTTCCCTTTCAAACCTGTGTTTCCCCCCATTCGCGAATCAAAAACCAGAAGGAGACATTAGTAAGTATAGAAAGTTACGGGGAATCTCTCTGAGAGGGCAGAGTGTGAGAAGAAACAGAGTTTTTAACTTTTTATACATTTTCTTGGTCTGGGGAATCTCTCTGTTTGGCGATTTCTTCCATAACTTGGGCAAAGCTTGCTCCTTTCAGGAATTACAGAACCCACTCTCTTCCATGGCCGCTTCCCACCTTCAGAATCGTTGCAAGTATTGTTCTTTGGCTTGTGAATCTTCACCTGGATCAAACCCAATTCCGGCTTGTAATTGAACTCGATTCTGTCCCCAGGAGCCAAGCCATTAGCACCAGCAAAGGCAGGCCAGCCACCAGTGAACCGTTGATAAGGGCCCTGCCTTCCTGAGATTACAGTAACTGGCCACACTTTCCCGCTTGGATCTTGAAGTTGTGCTGTTTTCTTCATTGCCAGACTCGTGGTTTCGGAAAATGTCCATGGAATGCACTTTCCATGGTAACAACAATAAAAAGCAACAGAGACGACAAGGTTTGGATTAGTTAGAGACAAATAGAACAGCACCATTGGATTTTTTGTATCCGAATTTGAATGTTTAGAGAGTGGGATGAAATTGTACAATACCACAAAATATGTCATGTACTTCTTGTAATCCACTTGGAAGCAAGCAGCTAAACCTCGAGAATCGTTGCCAGAAGAATACCCTTCTTCCGACTCTGTTTAAATTCGAGCTTCTCGTGGTTTCAAATTTGCACCTTTGGCCATTCCTTAATCAAGACCATAAGATAAGAGTAAAAAAAATCTGGCCTAATAAAGGGAAGTAAAGTGGAAGGGGGGAAAACAGAGACAGCATGCTAGAAACTTGAGTCAATACCTTCTCTGGTTTTGGAGAGTTGCTCTGTTTCGAGATTCCTTCCAGAGTTTCTTCGGCAAGACCTCCTCGTTTCAACTTCTCTCCTCCCCTCGTTTCCCTTGCCTGAACCAATACCAGAAGACATAGTGATACTTAAAGCAAGATTTCTCGGTTGGAGAAGATGGACGACTGGAGAAACAAAGAAGAGAGGAACAGAGAGAGAGAGAGCAGAAGTCTACCGTTTCTAGCGTTTTCAAGGGATGGCTCTGTTTCATGATTCCTTTCAGAGCTTGGACGATGCTCGCTGGTTTGGACTTCAGCTGATCTCTTGACGCAGCCAGTTGGGTTGTAAATGACGACATCCACGATTTTGCTCCCAATGAAGTTGAAAACCAGATAGTCGCCTTCTTGTAGTTGATGATCCTTGACGAACGACGGCCATCCGGTTTCGAAGAAGCATCCCCTGCTTCCCCATTCCACAGAAACAATGGCAGGATTCCCAATGTTGGGTTTGAGAACTAATTTCCCGTACAAATCGTCGCCGAATTCGTAGACGAATGAATCTGGAATCCTCTGTCGTGAAAACAGAGACATCGCAGGGTGGTGAGTGAAGAAGGTAAAGCAAACACAAAAGTGAGAAGAAGATCAACGGCAGAATGGTGAGAAGTGGAAGAAAGAACATTACCAGCTTCTTGGAGAAACATCCAACCAAAACCTTGATGAAGGAAGGGGTCTGGTTCGCCATAGTTGCTTGTTTTCTTCTTCTTCTTCTTTTGGAGGTTTACTTGTAGTTGTGGTAAAAACAGAGCATGGGAAGAAAAGAACGGAGAAGGCTATCTGGGTTCCAGCATAATCTTATCACCCATCAGTTGTACGAACCAGTAAGCTGTGGTCTGTACTCTGTAGAGTGTACAGTTTAGAGCTGGTGATTCGGTACAGGAAGGAGAGGGCGATTTGATTGGTCACAGAGAAGAGCTTGCAATCAGTTTCTCGATCAAACTATCTGTCAGAAGATATGAAAATTACAGAGAGCTCTTTTCCAGCCCAGTACTCGAAGTGGGCTATATCAGGAAATGAAATTATGGCCCTTGCCCGTTGGAGGAAGTTATTTTGCTGAAGAAAGAGCTTGTTTGTGCATTTTGGCATTGAACAGGGTGCAATGGGCATTAACCCACAATAAATACAAATTTGAGGGCTAAATTACATGTTTGGTCACTCAAATCATACAGATTTTTCATGTTTGTCACCCGAATTACTTTTCTTTCTAATTCGCCACTAACTTTACGAATTGTTTTACCGTTGGTCACCGGCAGTTACACTTCGATAAATTTGTCCTACGTGGCAGTCAACTATAAAATTTGACAGTTAACTAGATGACGTGGAAATTAAAAAAATAAAAATTTAATTTTCCACCTCATCATCTCACTTACTTTATCTATATGATTTATCATATAAATAATTTAATACAAATTAATTAAATTACAAAAATTAATAATCCAATTTCCCCCTTGAGAAGACGAAGAGTCGGAGGCGAGCCGATTCGATCTAGAGATCACTGGCGGCCCAGCCTCTCTAATTTTCTCGATCTCGTCTTCTCATCATGCCTCTCCTTCTCTTCCTCTCGCCTTGTTTGGAGAATCAACTAGAGATTCCAAGAAGTATAATTAGTGGGAGCTGATACCATACCCTCGAACCAGGTAGCAGATCCCAGGCTCGTCGAAGCGACAAGAAGAGACAAGACTCGAACCAGGGAGCAGATCCCAGGCCCGACGATCATCATGACTGTCAGCAGTCGCCGACCACCGAAATCAGATTCGGGCCACCCTAAATCGACGAAAAAATGCAGGTCTAGGTATGATTATGGTTGCGGGTATGCCGTGTTGTTTTTATTTTGTTGTTATTTAAAGATTTTCATTCTTACCACCAATTGGAGGAGACGCTCTAGTTTTGGGTCTTGGTAAGTTTTTTTATTTCCTGGGTTGATCATTTTATTTGATTCTAACTTTTTGTCTTGATTTGATATAGGTTTTTGTAGACAGAGGATGACGAGTCCTAGCATTGCGATTCCAGCTAAAGCAGCGGCAGCGACAAGAGAGTCGAAGGAACCGGGCAGAGATTCTTTAGCGCCTTCCCGCAAAGATCCACACTCCTATCTTCTCTTCCTCTTTGCAACGGGGAAATTGGATTATTAATTTTTGAAATTTAATTAATTTTTATTAAATGATTAATATGATAAATCATATAGATAAAGTAAGTGAGATGATGAGGTGGAAAATTAATTTTTTTTTAATTTCTACGTCATTTAGTTAACGGTCAAACTTTATAGTTGACTGCCATATAGGACAAATTTAACGGAGTGTAACAGCTGGTGACCAACGGTGAAACAATTCGTAAAGTTAGTGGCGAATAAGAAAGAAAAGTAATTTGAGTGGTAAATGTGAAAGATTTGTATGATTTGAGTGACCAAACATGTAATTTAGCCCAAATTTGAGTATGCATATGAATACACATGGCCAAGGTTGTCAAACCGGTTTATTCTAGTGTGTCGGTTTAGCAAGTGGAATGGTTCGATCGATGGCACATACCGCTTTCTGCCGGTTCATGCCGGTCAATATTACAAATAAAATTATAAATACTCGTATTTAAACATGGCATTCAATGTCAATACTTAAACATTTATACTTGAATACAACAAATAATATCAATATTTAACTTTTATACTCATAAAATAAATAATAAGATTATTTTATCAATTAAATTCACTATAATAAGGTCATCTTACTTAAAAATTCGTATATCGATCATGCCGGTCATGCCGATAGTGTCACGCCGGTTTTATAACCGGTATCAGTTGAACCAGATTCAACCGGTGGCACGCTGGCCGGCGTGACAACCATGCATATGGCTTACCAACTCTTTGTTCACCATTCACTATCTAACTTGGCTTCCCTTTTGTTTATGCCTTCAGTTTGATACTTGTCTAAAATATAACAGAGCTTTTATGAGTTGGTTTTGATTTGAAAAAGCAGTATAAAAAATAATTAAAATTCATATGTGGACATCTATTAACAACTTGCATTATTGGACCACATATTGTATTAACGAACCATGTAGATCTGTATCTTCTTTATTTTTTCAACTATTGTTGTCTTCTGGTGTCGACTATTCCAATCCGTCAATTACATTTAAGTATTTACAACTAAAATATTGTTCCTTCGAGAAACACCTGTGTTTTTCCCTACTACTCCAACCAATTAATTAGGACCGTCCGGCATCGGAACATGCCGGCGCTACAGAATTTTCCGATCCACACAAACAAATATTAGCCAAACAAATCTACACAGAGCCGTACGTATCTCCAAGGTCAAAAGTGAAAGAGCCGCTCATCCCACCTTTCATTAACACACCCTCCCCGAGTCCCATCTCACTAGTCACTACTACTTATAGACTCGTCATCCACCCGCCAATCACCACACCATCACCCCTCATTCTATTATCTCCGATCCGTAGGATACCGTTTGATCTCAATAACTAAAAAAAAAAAAAAAAAAATACTAACGATGGTCATGATGAGGAAGCAGCAGATGCATGTAACGACGATCCTCATTGCGATGCTGCTGACTCTGACGACGACGGCTATTCTGCAGGCAGCGATGACAACAGAAGAAGACCACCACCATAAGTGGCGGAGCGAGAAGTCGAAATTAGGGGTCTAAGTTCCTGTGCTTAAGCCCAAAAGTTTAAGCATATGCTTAAAGAAATTCTATTGGATGTTAGGAGATTAGTTGGTTAATAAGGAGTTAATAGTTAGTAGACGGTTAGGGGTATTCAAGTAAATGGTGTAATTAATTCTATAAATTTTAATATAATACCATAATTATTATAAAACTTCCCGTTTACCCCAATTAAACCCAAAAGCCGCCGGGTAGGGCTTATTGTTTCGTCGGCCTTCACTCTTCTCTTCCCAGCACCGTTCCGCTCCCACTCGCCGTCTTCACTCAGTGCCGCTCGCCGTCAATATCCGATCAGATTCTTCGCTTCACCGTCGAAGAGGAAGCTGGTCGACTTGCTCCTGGAGTTTAGGCGGCTGGTCGATTTCGTACGGGGTCATCGTCAGGGGACGATTGTGCGTAGTGGTCGTAGAGTTCTTTCTGTTGGCCGGAGGCAACACAAGTTCCAGACTGCTTTCTCCAGTAGCTTCCTGCTATTGGTCTCTCCGCATGCCCCTGGCGGCTCCTCCACCACCATCATACGGAGTGACAAAACCTAGGCCTCAAGGTAGCATCTGTAGTGAATTATTAATAGAACATAGGTATAGTCTTAATGAGTTATAACGTCATTATCAAATTTGTTTCCTATTTTTTTCACTTTTGTTCAGAATTTTTTTAATGATATAGGTGCCAAGCTTTGTTAAAGTTTAGTACTTTCCTTTTGAACAATTGTCTACTTACGAGCATGAATTGAAAACGTGAATAGTTAACAAATATGTTGTAAATCAATGATAATGTTATTCAAACAGTTAATAATGATCCGACATAACTTTAATAATACCTTCATTAGCTTGATGACAAAAAATATAAATCGTTAACAATTTGTCTTAAATCGTTAATAATGCAATCTGAAAGCATTGATAAGTGTATTGAATTTGTTAATAATGACGGGGTATATCAATAATAAGTATACTTATTGTATTTTCAACGAAACACAACTTTGTTATTAACGATTTAGAGTGTTGAAATCAATGTTTCAGTATTTTTTTTGTTGGTGATTTTAAAAGAAACGAACTCATTTATTTATATTGAATTACTAATGTAGTAATAACATATATTTGTTGGGATTTTTTCTTTGTGTAGGTTAACGACATGGCGCAACCGCCAAAGCGGAAGCAACCAGAAGCATATGAGTTATCAATAATATTAATGATTATTTATTATTTACTTATTTGAAACAAATGTATTTATTCATGATTCTGAATCAATTTTAGTGTTTTTTAACCATTATCAATTAATAATAATATAAACCCGGATGCAACATATTATCAATGATATGCAGAATTATTATTATTCATCTAAAGGTAATTATCAACAACGAATAGAATCATTATTAACGTTTGCAAATTTCAAGTTAAGTTTATTAACGTAGAATTAGAAAGTAATTAAAGATTTTTTATTGCTATTAGGGTTTGTGAAGGAATTATCAATTTTATGCATCATCATTATCAAATTGGATGGAAGAAATTTTTTATGATATGCTAATGTATTATTATGGAGAATCATTATTAACATTTTCAAATTCTCATAACAGCTTTATTAAGATATTCATAAAGTATAATATCGTTTATTTATTATTATCAGCGATTATGAAGAAATTATTAATTTTATAGCAAGTATTGTTAATACAAAATGTTGCGAATCCGTGAAAAATGTTATTCGAATCATTACTAATTATGTGGTATATTTTTAATAATTTCTTCATAAGTGTTGACGACTAAAATGTAAATCGGTAAGAATCGATCCAAAATTGTTAATAATGTTATCGTAAAGCATTGATAAGTATATTGAAATAGTTAATAATGATGGAGTATATCAATAATAATTCATGTCAAAAACATTAATAATATCATTGAAAACATTGATAACGCTAACGGAAGTCTCTACGAATATTAAATTGGGATTTTTAAAATCTTAAATATTAAATTTGGATTCCAAGTTATAATTTATAATTTGAATAAATATTAGATAATAACATTTAATTAAATAGTTCCGAATTTTCAATTAGTTATGAGTTTAGGAAAGAGAACAATTGTTCTAATTATTAATGACATTAATTATTTTCTCATAATACCCCATTTACCCTTAACAACTTACTAACTACTTACCTTCCTTAAACTAACTAAATTCCTGTAAGCCAATAGAAATGTTTTAAGCATATGCTTAAACTTCTAGGCTTAAGCACCGGATCCAACCCGAAATTAGGTAGTGTCTTTTTTTTCTATAGTAAAATTAATTTCGAGTTGGGATATAAGTGTAATAAAATTAATTTATGACAATCAATTAAAAATAAGTGAGTTCTGGTACATTAGCCACGTCACCTTAAAATCGGTGAGTTTCAATCCTTTCCAACATGCATATACATAGGGGTTCTATTATATATTATCGTTTTATTCAAAACTTACCTGTGTCCCGTAACAGAGCCCAACCGCTTTGGGTCCGCCGCTACGACGGGATTGTTTGATACGACGATAGGCGTTACCAACAAGCTGAGCAGCGGGATGGCGCTGATACTGCACTGCAAGTCCGGAGACGACGATCTCCGCGGTCGCGCTGTCGAGGCCAACGCCACATACGAGTTCACTTTCGGCATGACACTCGACACGCTTTTCTGGTGCAAGGCGGCGTTTCGAGACCGCCGTCTTTCCTTCGTCGCGTTCGGGCAGGTCAACGTTAAGCACTTCGACGTGTCTGACGGTGGAGTTGACGGCGTTGACGAGTACAGTGGGGATCGAGTTCATGTCTGCGATTGGAACTGATCATTGGAGTGAGTTTTTTTGTTATAAAAATAATAATGATAATAAAGATGGTGTGTTACGCTGTTGATTTGTGGTAAGCATTAGGGCAGTTATTGCCTCTACTTTACGTGTTGCTCTTCGTGATTTTTTTTCGTTTTATGTTTCGTGAGTATTCGTCTAATCTTGTGTTGGTGTAGTGTAATTAGATGTACCCTGCGTCAGTGAAATTCAGTACCTTGAATCAATTAAGTAACTACAAGTTCAAAATACGGATTAAGTTTAATCCAATGAAGCAGTTTGGTGATGAATAAAAAGATGATTATATATGATAATCTATGTTACAAGAACCGGACGGGACCAACAGGTGAAGCAGTACAATTGTAAGACCATCTATATACTAGTCGTTCGGTATATTTGTAGGAAACAAAATGAATTGTCTCGATTTTTTTTACAACTGTCTCGATCTTTTTTTTATGAATTTGTATATTGGTATTTCATCAAAAAAGCGTTGTTGGCAACATCCTTACCAATTAGGCATGAAAACTGGGTACAGTATGGGGGAGCTATTCAAACTACCTGAGTAAATACAAAGAAACTCTCAAGAAGGAAACCAGAGGCAGAAAGCAACTAAACAAAACCAAACAGCCAAAATCTCGGGTAAGAGACACAAAACCTAAGGATCAGCAGACCAGTAGCGCTCCAGTGGTAGGGGGTCCTGCATCATCACCTTTACCTCACTTTTTACTTGAGAACCCAGAGCCTCAATAGTCTTGTTGTTCTCTCCAAAAGCTCGTCGACAACGTTCCCTCCATATATGGCTTACAAGTGACTGTCAAATCAGTCGACCCACCATTCCACAAGGCGATTTAGTCCCAAACTTCCTGGTTGCCCAGTGAAGGTTTTCTTCCCAGGACCGTGGAAGGAAAGAGCTAAACTGACCAAACAGCTGCTGATGAGTAGAAGCATAAAACATACAGGTCGAGAAAAGGTGATCTCTTGTCTCATCAGGTTGATCACATAAGTAACACTAATCCGATCCAGCCAACCCCCATTTTTTCATCTTATCTTTCGTTTGTATCTTATTGCGGATGATAAGCCATACGAGGAATCTATTTCTTGGGATCGAGGTCCCTGTCCAGAGTAGGTTATACCAGCTAACTACCCTTTGCTTTGGCCTTATAACCTCCCAAACCTTCTTAATGGAATACCTTGGCATAACAGCATTATTCCAATGAAGCACGCCATTATTTAAGCTAAACAGGTTAGGGATCTTACCTCGAATCCGCAACAACTTCTTCCAATTCCAGGATCCATCCACGTTCACAGTCCCAAAATCCCTCCCTTTTAGCTTGTAAGCTTGAATCCAAGCTACCCACAGAGAGCCATGCTTCAACATAATCGCCCAAATCTGCCTAAACACACAAGCATAGTTCCAAGTAGAAAGGTCCCTTAGTCCAAGCTCACCTTCCTTCTTCGGAACAGACAGATACTTCCATGCCATTTTCGCTTTAAGCTTCAGCCCAGGACCAACAGACTAGAGGAAATTACTACAAATTTTTCAACTTCTCGAATAACTGTTTTACGCAGCATAAAGACACTCATCCAGTACTGTGACATGTTGTACAAAACAAATCCAACTAATTCAACTCTGCCAGCATAATTAAGAGCTTTTGCTTTCCAGCCCTGCACTCTACTTGTAATTCTATCAATGAGTGGTCTACAAGCATTAACTGAGAGTTTCCCAGCCACCAAAGGTACTCCCAAATATCTCAATGGAAATCCCCCCCACCTGATAGCCAAATCTGCTAGCCCTAGCCACCATTTCATCTTTCTCTAATCCACCAAAGAATGTTTCACATTTACTTGGGTTGGACTGAAGACCAGAAAGCTTATGAAATACACTCAGTACTCTCTGCACACTCTATATACTATAGTTTGATCCATCAGAAAAGACTAAAAGATCATCAGCAAAACATAAGTGTGTCAGCTCAATTTTTTTGCACATAGGATGGTAAGGAAACCTCCCCTTTTTTGCTTCAAGATCCAAAAGACTGGAGAAAACCTCCATAGCCACAGTAAACAGATATGGAGAAAGTGGGTCACCCTGCCTCAAGCCTTGCTTAGCAGGAAAATAGCCAGCTAGACCCCATTAAAAGCAATACTTAGCATAGGGCTAGTAACACACATCTTAATCCAATCAATAAACTGACAAGGAAATCCCATGGCATCCAAAACAGCAAGCAAAAAGTGCCAATTCACAGAATCAAATGCCTCATGAGGTCAATCTTCAGAGCTGACCTAGTGGAAATATTCTTCCTAGAGTATTGTTGCACTAGCTCGTGAGCAAGAAAAATATTTTCACCTATAACCCTCCCTTTAACAAATGCTGTCTGATTCTTGCTAATAACTAGGGGAAGAAGAGCACTGAATCTGTTGGCAATTATTTTTTATATGCATTTATAGATTATGTTGCAACATGAGATAGGCCTAAAAAATGTCATCTCATCCGGGTTCTGAATCTTAGGGATCAGAGCAAGGATAGTAGCATTTACCTCTCTAGGCATCTTCCCAGTCACAAAGCATCTCTGGATAGGGGAAGTAATTTCATCCCCAATGACTCCCCAAGAAGTTTGGAAAAACCTAGCATTATAACCATCTGGTCTAGGACTCTTGTCTACATTGAAGCTGAAAATCACATCTTTAACCTCATCAGCAGTGATAAGATCATAGAGAGAGGACCCATGTATAGCAGTCAATTTATGCCTTAACAAGCCCCTATAGAAATCCACTTCCTTCGTTTCAACATGAGGATTAACCCTCCCCAACATATACTTATAAAAATCAATAACCAGCTTACTCATTTCTTCTATAGAAGTCACTGTGTTACCCTGAGCATCTTTAAGAGAAGTGATTGTGTTCCTTTTAGTCCTTGTTATCATTGATCTATGAAAATAGCCTGAATTTGTATCCCCCACCTTTAGCCACAGCTCTCTGGATTTCTGTCTCAAGAAAATTTCCTCAGCTTGGATCAAATCAAATAGCTTTTTTGCAACCTTGACTTCAAGCTCAAAACTCAATGGAGTTGGACTAGAGAGAGCATCTAGTTCCTTTTCCTTATCCCTCACTTGTCCCCTAATATCAGAATACTCTTCCCTATTAAATTGTTTGAGTAATGCTTTCAGAATCCTAAGCTTCTTATTGACCCTGATCAAAGGAGAACTCCCCACACTCTCATTCAATGCCTGTGAAAGCAACCCCTCAAAAGATGGATGCCCTAGCGAGAAATTAAAGAATTTAAATGGCTTAGGAAGTGACTTCAGTGGAACATCAGTTTGAACAAAAACCGGACAGTGATCTGAAACCCCGGGAACTTGTATTTGAACAATACTATTCTTCAACTCATCCAACCATGCCAGATTAATAAAAGCCTTGTCAAGCCTATGAGCAATAGGGTTGTCTTGCCTCTTGTTGAACCAAGTAAACCAAGGCCCACTAGACTTGTGCTCCTCCACTTCTATAGCCCTCAACCAGTCATTGAAAGACCTCATACTTGCAAAGTACTGAGGAGTATTTGAACCCTCACTCGGATCCCTTATAGCATTAAAGTCACCTAAAGGAATCCAAGGCATATTTTCCACCTTTAACTGAGCCACTTCTACGTAGAGTATTTCCCTCTGGCATTCACTGTTAGAGGCATACACAAATGTAGCAAAGAAAGGATTCCTGCCTCCAATCAAGACTTGAGCAAACTGATCAGAGCTCCCTGTGATAGATAGTTGTATCCCAGAGCGCCATACAAGCCAGATTTTCCCCAGACCTTCTTCATTGAACAAAATTTCCTACCCCCAACCATCGAACCTTTTCTGCTTCAGTTTCTTTGCTTCTAATCTACTTACCCGAGGCTCCAGAATAGCAACAATATATAAACTAAACTTATTTATTTTATTTAGTATGGCTATATATTTTTATCCGCAACAAAACCTCTGGTGTTTCCATGAGGGAATCTTCATTTACGACTCTTACCTCTCCCACCACATTTCCCCACTTTCCTCCCGTTATTTCTAACATCTGGAGGTTCAATCCAACTGTCTCGATTTGACTTGACCATAAGTTAATATTTTAACCACAAAAAACAATTTGGTGATTTTTTGGGTGATTTTTTTGAAAGGTCTTTTTTTAAAAAAAAATTAAAGGCTATATAGATCACGAGCATGAGACTATTCTTCAACGACGATTATTAAACATTGATTTGTGCGAATTTTTTTCGGGTCCATTTTTTGTAGATTCTAAAAGGGTATCATCACAGATTTCGAACTCTTTTTTTTAAATGTCATTTTCCTAGTACTTTGAAGGCTACATATCACGAATTTGGCATGAGATTATTTTTCACCAACGGTTAAGTCTATTAAGCACTGATTTGTGGTTCATTTTTTGCAGATTTCAAATGGGCAGTATTACATATTTCATAAAATTCTTCGAATGACCATTTTCTTTGGATTTTGAAGACTACAGATCGCGAATTCGAGCTGAGGCTATTCTCCAGCGATGATAAAGTCTATTAATTGCTGATTGAGCGAATTTTTTTCTGAGGGCATTTTCTTAATATTTAAGGTATTTTTATCAAAAATACCATTTTCTCTTCGAGGATGGAGGCGGTGGGGAGGGGAAGAGGGTGAGAGAGAGGTAGCGGGAAGGATGACAGAGGGTGGGACATAGGGAGGCAAAGAAAAGGCGGATAGGGGAAGGGAGGACGATTGGCGGGTTGGTGGGGAGAAGTTTTGTTGGAGAGGGAAGGAGAGAGGCAGACGGCTGGATGATTAGAGTTGCAAATAATTATTTAGGATTTGGAATAATATATAAAATGGTATATTTTAAGGAGAATAATCTGGTATGGTTATTATTATTTTTCCACAATTATTCTTACTCAATCATGATAGCTGGTTTAAAAATATTGAAAATAGAGGGAGGAGATGTAGGTAGGGATGGCAATGGGGCGGGTTTGCCTAAACCATCCCCATCCC